CACTTAAAATGTGATCGATTCGAGATTTTTTCCCTTTTCTTTCAGATTATCGAAATCGGGGGGTAGGTGGGATAAATATTTGGAAAATATTGGTTTGTTATCTCGTCGTCGAAATTTGTCTCTAGACAAAGTCCGTCAAGAAGGCAAAGACCTAAAAGAACGTTGATTTTTACCAATCATGAGTTTGTGTAAATTTTAAATCTGATGATGGCGCTGTTGTCTCGCCGAAACGTAATGAAATAACGATTTTCAAAATTTTTACTTCACACTTTGAGACCCAGGAAAGATAAGAATATCCTAATAAGTACACGCAGTCAGGAAAATAAATCAGAATTGATGAATGACGTTGAGTAAACCATTCACACAACTAAAAACTCGCACCGCTGCGGCTATAACTGCAGCGTCAGCAGTATCCTGCATATTAGCGAATGTAGACAAATGTTTGAACTACAATTCAAAAGGAATTTTGCTTCAAGCATTCGACACACCGTGTAGCAGATACATTTGCCGCACGAACCGCCGAACTTTTTGACTCAAATGTTCGGTCGAACGTTAGAACGAATGTTCGACGCATCGTGTAGCGCCGGTTTAACAAAAACTCCCAATCTGTCTGAATTTTCTCAATAAAACGTATATGGCAACATAGGAAAGCGTATTTCGAATAATTTAATTGCGTATAATTAAGTAAATTTGAAGCCGCGCTATATAAAGTTACATAAAGAGTAAACATTATTTTCAATTCTGACTTAAAAAGATTGCCAACTGGGGCTGGCCCGTGAGGACCATTGATACACAAAAATACTCGTAAAGAATCACAAAAACGCGAAAGCGGCACTGAGAATACACGAAACAACGATACGTTCACCGTGCAAAGGGGCATTAAACTGGGTGAGACAATCTCGCCCAAACTGTTTACGCTGGCCATAGAAGGAGTTTTCAAGAAGTTAGAATTATCAGAATATGGAGTCTTCATCGGCAGCAGGAGATTAACAGATCTCAGATATGCAGGCAACATAGTTCTGTTCGCCCACGACGCTGAACACCTGGAAAGAATGGTTACAGATCTGAACAAAAAATAAAGGGATATACCCCTCAAAGCAAAATATAGATAAGGTAAGATATAAGAAGTGTAATAAGCATATAAAAACAAAACTATGTATCCGGTGGACCCCAATATCAAAATAGACACCGTAAACGCCTTAGTCGCCATACTTAAGCCAACGAATAACTCTGGGAAAGGAAAACAAAGATATCGAAGTCGAAAGGAGAATTAGGATGGGCGGCTTTCCCAAAACCAAAAAATATCACTGTATATGTAATCAAAACTTTACGACCAATGCGTATTGCCAGTAACCACATACGGAGCTAAAACCTCAACAACAAGACCTTCGCAGGACAATGGTGAACAAGGTTAGAGAATCCCAAAGAAATATGGAAAGAAGAATATAAGGCGTTTCTCTGCGTGACAAAAAACGAAGTATACTTGTTTATTTTGATAAAATAGCGCCTGGCTAATCTTTCAACATTTTTAAGTGAACACTCGTCGTATTATCAAATACCTCACAAAAAATTAAAAACAACGTAAAAAAATAAAGTGACTGTTATTTACTTTAAGCTTTTTTTTGGAGTTAATGATAAATCAATTTGCCCTATAAAGGGTTAAAGTCTAATTTGCTGTCTGGCTCCTCAAGTACCAGGCTTCCAACTTCGTTCAACATCTTGATAAAACGGGCGCCGAGGATGATGAAATTGAACGCAATTGGTCATTAAGCACTGCAGCCACAAAAACAATTTTAAAAGTTTTCCACAATTTTTCAACTAATTTATTAAAGCGTAATTATTTCGTTCAGATTTTGCAAGCTCAGTAAAACGGTTCGGAAAATTGTGGATAACAAAACCTTTCCCTGAACGAAAAATGAAAAATCAAAACTCTTGAAATAGTTTTATAATGAAAACATTTTCGTTCATATACATATTTTCATMMAAAGCCCCTAACATTTAAGTACTACCACAATTTTTTTATCATTTTTTTATCATACAGTTTGATTCAAAATTCTACTAAATATAAAGAAAATAAACGTCTTGTCACAAATCAAATTCATCTCACCTTGCCAATGGTTAGAAGCTTTAAATAAGTATAAGATATGATGGCAAAATAGGAATTTTCTTTAGCGCGATATTATTCGCA